CTCACTATGAGTCAGAATTAATCCATAGTACTAAGTAAATTTTTAGTGGGCGAATCATTAGAGTACATCCTCTATTTTTACTGAAAAAGTGGTTAAACTCTGTCCTAGCAAATGTGTCCAAAATGTTTGCATAAGAAAAAAATTTTTTTTTTTAGTCCTTTCAGATATGGATTGGTCAAGCCTATAAAAACAAGCAAAGACATTCAGACCTGGGATATTTTCCTGTTGAAGAAGGAATCAACGTACACTGGACACTGAAATTGATCTTCTCTCACTTTCTTCTATTTCTGGTCTTCATGAGGAAAAGATATGAAAATATAAACGTTTTGATGGTACCATCTAACAACAATCTTCAAATTATGAACTGGCAGAAGTAATGTTTGTAAAGTGAATGGTCCCAGGTATTAAAGCCCATGTGATTGCCGATTTGGGCATAGAGCAGCTTGAATCAGCTTATGTCAGCAAACCTTCCAGCCACCAAAAGCACCAAGAGAGAACAGGTTAAAACGGCAACCAGGAGTAAACAATGACAGGAAAGAACAGAGTTTAATGAGAAGAAATACATAGTCTCTACCTAATAGCTTTCTCTCTCGTTATACTGTATTGTGGCTTAGTTTCGTGTATTAGTTTCCTAAGCCTGCTGTAAATTATCACAAACTCAATGTCTTAAAGATTTTTCTCTCATAGTTCTGTGGCTATAAATCTGAAATCAAGGTGACAACAAGACCATGTTCTCTCTGAAGGGCCTAGGGAATAATGTATCCTCACTCTTCAAACCTCTGGTAGCTCAACCATTTCCTTGGTTTTCAACTGCGTCACTCCAATTGGCCTCCGTCTTCATACAGCCTTCCCTACATGTGCCTTCATGAGCACAATTAAGTGTTCCAGAAGACTCATACTTTGCAATGTTGTCCATAGTTTATCATGAGCCACACAATCGAGAGCCTTTGTGTAGTCAATAAAGTACAGGTAAACATGTTTCTGATATTCTCTGCTTTCAGCCAAGATCCATTGGACATCAGCAATGATATCCCTCGTTCCACATCCTCTTCTGAATCCGGCTTGAACCTCTGGAGGTTCTCTTGCCATCGTTTCTGTATTACCTTTAGTAAAACCCTACTCACATGGAATATCAAAGAGACAATCCAATGATTTCTGCATTGAGTTGGGTCACCTCTCTTTGGAATGGGCACAAATACGGATCTCTTCCAATCTGTTGGCCAGATAGTTGTCTCCCAAATTTCTTGACATAGAACCTGTATATAGACCAACAGGCAGCTGTTCGAACAGAACATGGGAACATTGAATGGTTTAAAATTAGGAAAGGAGGGTGACAGTGTTGTATTCTTTCACCATACTTATTCAACCTGTATGCTCAGCAAATAACCCAAGATACTGGGTTATATGAAAAAAAAAAAATGTGGCCATCAGGATTGGAGAAAGACTCATTAACAACCTGTGATATGCAGATGATACAACCTTGCTTGCTGAAAGTGAAGAGGACTTAAAATATTTACTGATGAAGATCAAAGAACACAGCCTTCAGTATGGATTGTGTCTCAATGTAAAGAAAACAAAAACCCTCACCACTGGACCAATAAACAACATTCTTATCAATGGAGAAAAGATTGAAGTTGTCAAAGACTTCATTCTTTGTGGATTAACCATCAACACTCATGGAAGCAGCAGTCAAGAAATCAAATGATGTATTGCATTAGGTAAATTTGCTGCATAAGACCTTTTTAAACTGTAGAAGAGCAAAGATTTCAGCTTAAGGACTAAGGCACACCTGACCCAAGCCACGTGCAGAAGTTGGGACAGTGAATAAGGAAGACCGTAGAAGAACTGATGTTTTTGAGTTGTGGTGTTGGAGAATACTGAAAGTGCCATGGGTTGCCAAAAGAACCAACAGATCTGTGTTGGAAAAAGTGCAGCCAATTCATCTCTCATACTTCAGGCATATTGACAGGAGGGACCACTCATTGGAGAGGGGTATCATGTTTGGTAGAGTGGAGGGTCAGACAAAAAAGAGGAAGACCCCCAGCGAGACGGATTGGCAAAGTGGCAGCATCAATGGGCCAAGTGTGGCAACAATTGTGCGGTTAGCCCAGGACTGGGCAGTGTTTAGTTCTGTTGTGCATAGGGTCGCTATGAGTTGGTTCTAACTTGATGGCACCAAACAACATGTGCCTTTCTTCTCTGTCCAAATCTTCTCCTTTTGTCTTATGAAGATAGTAATCAATGGATTCAAGGCTACCCTCCTCCAGTATAACTTCATTTTCACTTAGTTACATCTTCAAAGACTCTGTTTCCAACTAGGTAAGACTCACAGTTACCATACAGGTCAGGACATAACTTGTTAGGGGGCACAATACAACCTGCTTCACTTAGTAAAATAAAGGTAGTGATTTGAGATTGTTTTGTGATTCGTGTCACTCTAAGAGTCCTGGTGTGGCGCTGCAGGATAAACACTGGACTGCAGGTCAGTTTGAAACATGAGGTCAGTGGTTCAAACTCTGCAGAAACCCTATACAGGGTTGTTAATGAGTCAGAACCAATTCAACTGCACTTAGCAACAAGAAGAAATATACTGCTTGGTAAAGTGGAAAGTCCACAAAAAAGAAGACGAACCCCCACCCCCTCACCCCACAAAAGATATACTGCCACAGTGGCAGCAGCGATGGACTCAAATTCATTAATGGTGAGGGTGGCAAGGGGCCAAGCAGTGTTTCGTTCTGTTGTGCACAGGGTCACTATGAATCAGAACCAATTCGACGACACCTAACAACAACTAGAGATTTTATTTTATGACAAAAGAAAAGCTGGATACTCATGTCTCTTTTTCTTACCTGCTTTAACCATTCACTAGTGAAGTACGGGAGTCCTGGTGTGGCACTGTGGGTTAACGCTCTGAACTGCAAAGTCAGATTGAACCACAAGTTCAGCAGTTCAAACTCACCAGCTGCTCCTCGGAAACCCTATACAGGCTGCTATAAATCAGAACTGATGCGATGACACTAAACAACAAGTGAAGTACGAGCGTTAAGTCAAAAATTATTGCTACTAGGGTTCCAATTCATACATGCATGGGTTTATTCCAAATATAACATGTTTGAACACGCCTCTGTGATGAGTGGATGGCTGTAAACACGTTTTCTCAGTATTATAGTCATCTGGGTCTCATTAGGGCACCTTCAATAACAAGGATACTTTTTGAGTCATGGGGAAAAAAATGATTTTGAGGTCAGGACTAATATCAAATTTTTAGCAAAATTCAAGTGTCTACCTTCCCAGATGATTGAAACCTTGCAACAAGTTTACAGGAATGCTGTCCCACATAAAACAAATTTTCAGATGCATTAAGAGTTTTAAGAAAGGTCGAGAAGACCTCAAATATGAGCTAAGAGGGAAGACCATCAAACGCAAGGAATGAAGAAATGTGGCTGAAATCCAGCAACTGGTGGAAGACGACTGTAGGATTATTATTGATGTGGCAGCTACTGAAGCTGTAATTGCACAGAGTTCGGCATTTTCACTTTTAAGCAAATGTCTTGGTCACAGCAAGCTCTCAGTTTATGGGTGCCCAAATGTGCGAAGATCAGTATGTGTCACTCTTTGAAGCAAGAGCAAAACTAATAAAAACAATTTTATTAGTAACGAATTCAGAAATGAGTCTTGGATTTGCCAGCAAGATCTAATAGAAACAGTGGCTTCCTAGAGCATCTTCTGGGCCAATTAAATCCAAGGCAGATAGGTCAGCTCAGAAGGTAATGGCTACATTTTGGGGGATCCAACTGGGTAAATTTTTCATTTCAAGTTTTCTATTTTGACTCTGCTAGTGCAGTGGTTACGAATCGGGCTGCGAACCTCAAAGTCACCAGTTAGAAACTACCAGCTGTTCTGCAGGAGAAAGATGAGGCTTTCTGCTCCCGTAAAGATTATAGCCTTGGAAACCCTGTACAGGGTCGCTATGAGTGGGAACCGACTCCATGGCACATCACGATGATGACGGAAAGTTTACAGTGCTGATCAATTTCCCATTCAACAATTCATACACATTTTCTTTCATTTCACTGATTGCAATCCACCAGTGTGGCATCACTTATCTTACTTTCAGTTGCCTGGTTCTATTCCTCCTTCCTTCCTAATCCGTCTGAACTCTGTCCGTGAGTAAATGCTGTCCTTCTGATCTCCAATGGTTGGTTCTTCTACAGTGTGTGTATCTCATTAGTGTTATTTATTAGTCCCCTTGTTTGGCTGAAAGGTGAGCCATACATAGGGTTCATTTCCACACTGGATGGGTTGTTGGGAAGAACCTAAAATGTCAAATTTTATTCTCTCTTATCAGATGCCAAAAGTAAATCTTGATGTTCTTTGCAAATTTGAGCAGTCTTTGACACATCTAAAATAAAATAGGTCATTTAAATTAGAAGTTCAGGAAAAAGACATCTACGAAAACATTTAACTTTCTTTTTTAAAAATAAAAAACAAAAAACTGTTACTGGAATTTTATTAGCCAAGGGACAGCAGCTGGAGGGGAAAACAAACAAAACACATACATCTTAAGAATCCTTAAGTACATCACCTACTTATAACTTAAGTATCATATTTAAAAGCCACTCATGGCCCATCAGTTCATTAAATGTAGCAACTTTCAAAGCTACTGATGTCATAGGCCCACGTGCCAATTCAATGGATCGTTGCAGTCTTTTGGTCCTGGAGACGGTTTTCTGCACCTAACTTTGATCTCTGTGTTGGCATTGCTGTGCATTGGTTTGAGGTAAACCCTGGCTCGGGAGGCAGAGAGCCAATTAAACGTCTGACCTCACAGCTCAGCTGACACAGACGACACAGGAAGTCAGACCTCACCTCGGTGAACACCAACACCAAGGCCTTTCGAGGGCGCACACTCAAGGCTAGGCAGAGCCTCTCTCCTGGCAGAGAGCTTGTTACAGGCATGTACGGGATGCAATTCCTGCCCATGCCCATGGTCAGTAAGATCAGAAAGTGCTTTCGAGCAGGCAGTGGCACCCACAGCCGGTTGGACACACCTCCTGGGTTCGAAACCACTCCATCATGTGGCTGGTGTGCCCACCATGTCCACAGGTCAGGCAGAAATTGGACGATCCTCGTACCGCCACATGGCAGATGGCGCACTGAAACGTGAAGCCTTTGCAGATGGCGCACTGCGTGCCTCGGACCTCGCTTCGGCAATGGCTGCAGTACACACCAAATTCTGAACACCGGAGCAGACAACCCCAAAAGAAATGAAATGATTGTATTAGACCATTGACTTTCTCTCTTTTGTTAGATAGCAGAACCCCTTAACTAAAACCTAAATGAGACTTGTAGGTTGTTGGAGAGGCAAGGCCTAGGCAGAAGGGGTGCAGAGGGAGCCTGGTGGGGCCTGTCACCTGCCCACTCCTGCCATGTCTGCCACAAAGTAGCAGAGTATTCCCAAAGGAAGGCCCAGCATGGACATCTTTCAGAATCTTTAGTGAGCCCCAGCACGGTACTATAAAGGAGGCAGGCCACTGGAAACAGACACTGAGCATCCTCCCGTCCCCCCAGAGTACATATCTCCTTCCAAGGACAGGGTCCACATTCCAGGAACTGAGCATAGACCACCTCAGGCCCATGTGATTATCACAGCTAAACTTCTCCTGGTACAGACTCATCTCTGAGAAGGTATCAAAGCCCCTGATTAAAACTTCTGTCAATCAACTCCCACCTGCTTGCTCACTGCCCCACCATATGACATAGCAATTGCTAGCTTTTACACCTTCCTTGATACACTTTGTAATGCCCCAAGGACCCAAACACTATATAGACCAGGGTCCTTTCTATAAACGAGGCTCAGCCTCTGGATAAGAATCCGCTGAGCCACTTGCTGGTCCAATAAAAGTTCTTCCTTTGTTATAACCCACGCGGCGCGGTCAATTCCTTCAGAGCAGGTCAGGTAACACTATAGCCAGTATTTCCTGAACAGATGACTATTTCATGTCTCCTCCAGAGTCTGCGAGCTCCGGTCCCCTCTCTCAGCTGACAGCCCTTCTCTCACTTCCACGACCCAAAAAAGCCATCAGGCAGGGACCTCTTCCTTTCCACAGCAGAGCTTCCAGTGTCCCTACATTTGCTCCCTTCCATCTGTTACAACAGAGGGATGGTCCTTTCTCCTATCAGAAACAGTCCTCTGCTTCATGACAACTGCTAGTCATAAACACATACCAGAGAGTAGATGTTGTTCATCAGTGCCGTCGAGTTGGTTCTGACTCAGAGTGACCTGTATAGGGCTTCCAAGGAGTGGCTGGTGAGTTTGAACCACCAACCTGGCGATTCAAACCAACCTTGCGGTCCAGCACATTATCCTACAGAGTCACCTCAGGACTCCAAATACAGAGTTAGCTCAAAGGAAAATAAGGGGCCCAGGTAACTCAGCTGCTAACTAAAAGGTAGTTGGTTTGAACCCACCAGCTGTTTTGCTGGAAAAACCATGGCCTTTTGATTCTGTAAAGTTTATAGTCTTGGGATCCCATGGGAAAGTTCTTCTCTGTCCCACAGGTTCATGATGGGTCCAAATTGAATTAATCTGACAGCAGTGAATAAGGAGAAAACTGTATAAATGTAACTCTGTAGACAAATTAGAGTGGCTTGAAATTTTGGTTAGAAGCAGTGCTGTTTTCCTCTAAGCATTCCATCTTATTTTGGTTTAAAAGCAGTGCTGTTTTCCTCTAAGCATTCCATCTTATTTTAAGTCTTGGTTGGTATCTTTCTTTTTCTCATGAAAAGCCTTATCAGTTAAAACTTGTGAAATTTCCTTTATTGGTGCTACTGGTCAGATGAAATATTACTTTCTTTTAACAGTTTAGATTGTAAGAATGTAAAATCTATATATTCCAGTAAAACAGATATCTAATAAAAGGGTTTTTGCTCTTTTGCACTTGCGATAACAATGTCAATTTCAACATGGACCTTGGAAAAATGATTAAAATGCCTTCTCTGCAAAAAATTCCAAATATCATTAGGAATTATGTTTTTCTATAGTGTACATTAGAGTCTGGTGTGGCGCGGCGGCTTATTGCACTGGATCCCAAGGTTGGCTTGAGCTGCCACGCCTAGGAAACCATATACAGGGTCGCTATGAGTCAGAACCAACTCAATGGTACTTAACAGCAACAACAGAGTGTATATGCTTGAAAACAATTTCCAAGATCGTTATTAATGTTAAATCTCCTGCTATAAACGATAGGCTGGGTACAGAAACTTCTAGAAGAAACTTCAAAAGCTTTGCCACAGGTGCTCTTCATAACTGATACTAGAGACACTCTGACATCGTTACCACAAGAAGACACTTGTCAGATTGTGGGATGAGTCAGGATTCCCAGGACTCTTCAGTCCAGAAGGAGAGGCGTTTAGTGAACAAACCACCAGGTAACCTAATATCGTGATATACATGTATGCATGTATATATGCACATATGCATGTAAATAATGTTGTTAGGGGCCGCTGAGTCAGTACTAAATCATGGTGACCTTAGGCACCACCGAACAAAACACTGCCCAGTCCTGTACCAATCTCACAATCATTGCTACACTTGAGCCCACTGCTGCTGCCACTATGCCAATCCCTCTAGTTGGGGGTTCTTCCTCTGCTTTGCTAACCCTCCACTTTACCAAGCATGATGTCCTACTGCAGGGACTGGTCCCTCCTGATAATATGTCTGACGTATGAAAGACGAAGTCTAGCCATCCTAGCTACTTCTTTCAACACAGATGTTTGTTCTTCTGTAAATCCATGGTACCTTTAATATTCTCAATACTGACTCAAATACATCAGTTCTTCTACAGTCTTCTTTATTCTTTGTCCAATGCCCACATGCATATGAGGCTACTGAAAATACCATGACTTGGATCAGGTACACCTTAGTCCTCAAACTGATATCTTTGCTCTTAAACACTTTATTGTGCAGCAGATTTGCCTAATGCAATATGTCATTTGATTTCTTGCTTGCTAGCATCCATGAGTGTTGATGGTTGATCCAAACAAAATGAAGTCTTTGACAACTTCAAGCTTTCCTCCATTTATCTTGATGTCATTTATTGGTCCACTGTAAGTATTGTTTTCTTTACAAAAATTGAAAAACTTTATATTATATACACTATACATGATATGGGAGTCCTGGTGTAGCATTGTGGGCTAATGCATCATACTGCAAGGTCATTTGAACTGCAAGGTCAGTAGTTCAAGCTCACCAACTGCTCCTTGGAAACCTATACAGGGTTGCTATGGGTCAGAATCGACTTGATGGCACTTAACAACACCACCATACATGATATGGAGTCCTACTTTGGCGCTGTGGTTTAATGCGCCAGACTGCAAAGCCATTTGACCTGCAAGGTCAGCGGTTCAAGCTCACCAGGTGCTCCTTAGAAACCCTATACAGGGTCGCTATGGGTTGGGATCGACTCGACGGCACTTAGCAACAACAACATATGTGATATGGAGTCCTGGTGTGGTGCTGTGTGTTAAACCACCAGACTGCAAAGCCATTTGAACAGCAAAGTCAGCAGTTTAAGCTCACCAGCTGTTCCTTGGAAACCCTATACAGGGTCGCTATGGGTCGGAACCAACTCGATGGCACTTAACAACAACATGCATGACATATATTATTAAATATACATATACACATACATAATATGTATGTAAATTTAATTTCTTTAGTGAAAAGTACATGGCTAGATAACCTATGATAATACATTGAGTTTTTTTTTAAAAAAGGAACTTGCTCTCTCTAGAAACATTTCCCAAAATGAATAGTTTCATCAACACTTTGCTCATTAGAGTCTTGTTGGGATGTATGGTTTTCAAAGATATTCTCCCAGCGGGTAGCCTGTCTTTTCACTTGTTTTGCATAGAGTCTTTTGATGAATGAACGTTTGTTGTTTTAATCAGGTCCCATTTAGTATTTTATCTTTTGCTGTTTGTGCTTTTGTTGGTATACTGAAAGCACTGCCCAGCTTGTTCTTCTAAGGGTTTTGTGATTTTAGTTTGCATGTGTAGATCCTTAACCCATTTTGAATTTGTTTTTGGGTATGGTATGAGGCATGGATGTTTTATTTACCTGCATGTGGAAATTCAATTTTTCCAACATTATTTAGAGATTTTTCTTTCCCTACTGAAGAAACTTAGTTATCTTATCGAAAATCAGTTGACCATAGATTTGTGGGCTTGTTTCTGGACTTTCAAATCTCTGTGTCTGTTACCATACCAGTACTAGGGTGTTCGGATTACGGTCGCTGTATGGTTTCTTTTAAAATCAGGAAGTGCAAGTCCTCATACTTAGTTCTTCTTGTTCCACGTTGTTTTAGAGATTCGGGCCTTCCTTTTTTATTTTTGTAAAGAAGGATGTTGGAATTTTGATGGGGATTGCATTGAATCTGTAGATCACTTTGGGTAGTACTGATACATTAGTAATATCGTCTTCCAACATCTTTTCATTTACTATGTCTTCTTTCAGAAGCAATTTATAGTTTTCTTTGTATCTAGGTATTTTATTCTCTTAGATGCTATGGTAAATGAAATTGTTTCCCTAATTTCCTTTTTAGATTTCTCATTGCTGGTATATGGAAACCCAATTGACTTTGATTGTTGACTTTTGCAATGCTTTCTTAATGTGGCCCTTCTAGCCATGGTGTTGTTGTTGTTAAGTGCCAT